GAGTATGAATGGTCCAAGTCCAAAGTAAACTGAAATAGACTGCAGCTCACCCATAACCTGCACGAGGACAAGCGCGATAGAAAACGGCTGGCTAGAGAGCATAACGTTATCCACTTATGCAGCAAGGCCATTGCGATCGACAAACCATAGCTGACTTGTCTGATGGGAGAGCAAGAGAGCGAGGGGGCGGTGTTTGCCGAGCATGCTCAGTAGCACATCTGGCCTACGGTGGAGTCGGGTTGACCTTGAGGGTGTCATATCGATCGATCAAGACTGAGGCTGCGCGGGTGCGTCGGGGAAAGTGAGGGGAGGGGGCGTGCAACTTCCCCAAACAAGGAGAAAGCCGAAACCTCCGCTAATGATGAATCATTGATGGCATGTGGACAGCCAAAGCTTCTCTTCGCGTCAACTTCAGCATACGCCCTCGTTTCCGCTATTTGTCCAGTTGGCTCCGCAACTTCATTTTCTCTCACCTGTTTTTTTGTACTCTTGACCGGCCCACTCCTCTACCGCAGCTCCAAATATTTGGATCCCAAGCTTTTGATTGTTGGTCATATATGCATTATTATAATGGCATGGTTAACGAAAGCCAAGATAAAACTTTTTTATATTTGAAATATGCATATGTTCTTTATTAGCTCCCGTTTCCTTAAATCTATTCAGTAATTTCCATAATTGGTTGCAATTGTGGGGGGAAATATGATTTATGAGTGTTGTGATTTATGAGTTTTGTCAAAGAATAAAATAGACTCGTATCTCAAGGCAACTGCAGTTGTCGTAACTGAGGTGTCTGTCCAACCATCCATCCATTTTCTGTTCCGCTTAATCCTCACAAGGGTTGCGGGGAGTGCTGGAGCCAATCCCAGCCGTCTTCGGGTAGTAGGCGGGGGACACCCTGAACCGGTTGCCAGCCAATCACAGGGCACACAGAAACGAACAACCATCCACGCTCGCACCCACACCTAGGGACAATTTAGAGTGTTCAATCAGCCCGCCATGCAAGTTTTTGGAATGTGGGAGGAAACCGGAGTACCCGGAGAAAACCCACGCAGGCACGGGGGAGAACATGCAAACTCCACACGGGGAGGGTGGAGCTGGAATTGAACCCGGTACCTCTGCACTGTGAGGTCGACGCACTAACCACTGGACCACCAGGCCGCCCCCTGTCCAACCATAACATTTGAAATCTAACAAAACTATTTCTGAAAGTCTCTCAGCGAGCTGCTTGGAATTTTCCCAAATTTTATCATCACATCATGTCAAAGCCTAAGCGTAAACAAAGCTGCAGTGTGAACACACATACGCACTAGGTGTGACGGGCTCATACTCGAATGTCTCGATGAAGGGTTATCTAACATCCACGAGTGAAAATACAATCCAAACTTTATGGAAGCTTGCTTTTACGGAGTGTGACAAGGTTAAAATAGCCAGTTATGCCTATGAGCAAGCACCATTCATTCGCAGTCTGGAAGCAGACTGTTAAACGCTTCCTGCTCTGGGAGGGACTGTCATACTCTCCAGAAGTGTCAAATCGCACCACAAAAAATGACTATAGTTGTCATTCGAAGGGTGTGAAGTTATCTATGCACAAACCTTCGATTATCTGGTCCCCATTAACCGCAAAAAACAAGAGATTACGGTACTTATGAAGTACCTGCTTCCCATTGTTTGCTATGCACTGGAACAGACTGCGCTCGACCTGGAAAGTTCCACAGCATGCCGGTTGCTGCGTTGCACCTCGGTGGATGTCACATTCGCAGCCATCTGCCATAACACTCAGACACGCTCGCACAACAAGCCCACAAGCGCACGCAACATTACTGACAGACATAAAAGCACCAACCAGGTGTATCAAGAATCGGGCATATCGTAAGAAGCAACCTGCTACCAAATGTTGCCCATTTGTTATTGATGAGAGAGGAGCACAATAACGTGGAACTTATGAATAATGTAAACATCAGCGATAGCAGGGAAATGGTTCACACACACTAACACACAAACACACACAAAAAGCGCTTTTTTTTTCCTCATACACATCCGTTCAGAGGACACGGCGCGAAACGCTCACTTCACACATTCCCAACTTGACTGCCATCATCGCTGATGTTGGTGTGTGTGTGTGTGTGTGTGTGTGTACTCCAGAAGTGTCAAATAGCACCACAAAAAATGACTATAGTTGTCACTCAAAGGGTGAGAAGTTAACTATGCACAAGCCTTCGATTATCCGGTCCCCATTAACCATGAAAAAACAAGAGATTACGGTACTTATAAAGTACCTGCTTCCCATTGTTTGCTATGCACTGGAACAGTCGTTTGTTGAGATGTAATATTTGAATACAGTCCACCTCATTTTACTAATAAAAAAAAGAAAGTGATCCACCTCACTCATCCCAACCTGCTTTTGAAGCATAATCTGTGAAGAGCTGTCTGTATTTCCCAATTTATATAGAGTGAAAGTGTATAGAAACATGTTATTATCATCACCAGGCTTTTTTTTGCTGCATTTACTGTTCAGGTAGGACTTAGGTGAAGTTTCTTTAATTCCCATTGTAATCTACTCTAAGAAATCCCCGCTCAGTCGTCAGCAAAATGGGCATCGGTCAGCGAAGGACTGAGAGCTCCAGCGGTACTGGAAATATAATGCTGGCCTAAAACTTGTACACAGGATTGTATCTTGTTAAATCTGTATCCCCATAATTTGACAGATGATTTTATTACTTTTTTTTCTTCTTTTTTTTTTAATCTGTGTTCTTTTTAACAAGCTCAAAAGTTGGAAAAAAAAACAGTAGTTTGTTGAGATGTAATGTTTGAATACAGTCCACCTCATTTTACTCATAAAAAAAAAGAAAGTGATCCACCTCACTCATCCCAACCTGCTTTTGAAGCATAATCTGTGAAGAGCTGTCTGTATTTCCCAATTTATATCGAGTGAAAGTGTATCGAAACATGTTAGTATCATCACCAGGCTTTTTTTTTTGCTGCATTTACTGTTCAGGTAGGACTTAGCCATAATTTGACAAATGATTATATTACTTTTTTTTTCTTTTTTTTCTTTTTTTACTCTGTGTTCTTTTTAACAAGCTCAAAAGTTGGAAAACTGAAGTTTTTTTAATTCCCATTGTAATCTTCTCTAAGAAATCCTCGGTCAGTCGTCAGCAAAATGGGCATCGGTCAGCGAAGGACTGAGAGCTCCAGCGGTACTGGAAATATAATGCTGGCCTAAAACTTGTACACAGGATTGTATCTTGTTAAATCTGTATCTTAACATTAAAAAGCAATTTCTGTCTTTTATTTAGCTCGATGTGAAATTTGTTTTTGCGTGCAACATTGGCTCATATCCTCTGCACCTTCTGTGGTTGGTCTTACCCGCATCCATAAAACCTTGTGACCCCCTTGGTTGTGACATCACAACATGCGCTACATCTCCTGTGGGAACAATTCACGCTAATGTTTTTTTTTTTTTTTCCCCCACACATATGTAGACATTACCGAGGCAGCTTTAACGTCTTTCATTCCGAATGGCCACATTTGTAAGCTTCTGGTGAAAGAAGGAGACTAAAAACACAAACACAGAGCTCATGGCCCATCTGTCACGATCGCCAGCTCTCCCTGGAGGGCTGTAAATCAATCTCGACCAAAATACTGCACTTCAACTGTCGTAGCTGAGACTCCAGCACACACCATTTATTTGAAAAAGCTTTGAGGGGTTACATAGTGTTGAAAGCCAATACTGTATGAATCATGTCGCAAAGCCAACACATGCATGTTATGTGCAGCAGTTATGTTTAGTTCACAAAGAATGAGAAAGACAAGATAAGATATTAGCCAAATCTACACACTACGTCACATTAGAAGGAAGCAAACGGTCATAGAGAGCCACTGACAAAAACTTCAGTCATGTTGAGCGGAAAGAAATAAGAAAAGTTTCCCGGTGGTTACTACCACCTACCACTTGGACTGGATGGATTCATGGAGACGCAGCCTCTGTTTTTTTTACTGATTTTTATGAACACTGTGTTATTCCAATGAGAGCGGCAAAACACAAAAACAAGGGTGGCAATTATCGTGGAACCTCAAAGACTGGAACTCAATTTTCTTTCGGGATCCAAGTAGAAATATTCAGTTCCATGTTGAAATAAAATGATTTTTTTTTCTCTCATTGATTAAAATAAGTGTTGGAAAAAAAAGTTAATCCCCCTAAATATGAAAATACATTGCCTTAACTTCACATTCCAGGATGCAGCTAAACATAATCTAGGGTAACAGCGCCGTAATGCGAAACACCGTAACGTATCGCACTACAAAGCAACGCACCATAACAGAACCCAACGCAAAGTCCTCACCGAAATGCAACTTAATGTAGCGTAACACACCATTACAAAACATACCATAACGCCACCTACCGTAACAACTTACTCTAATGCAGCGTAACACAAAATGCTAGCACACAAATTATTGTAACGCAACGTAGTTTAACATGACAGACCTGAACGCAACCCAATATAATGCACTGAAATACAAAAACAAACTTAACACGGCATAATGAGATGGAAAGACAACAAAGCATAATGTGACCCAAACAAAATTAGCCGTAACACTCCTGAACACAATGCACCCCGAGGCAAAGCAACACAATGTATCGTAACGCAACGGAAGTGTTGTGAGTGCAAAGCTGTTAGACGCAAAGCTACTTATGCAAAGTTACGTCGTGTAACTTGTGGTGTGTAATAGACCTAATATCAAACGAAAACTGAATTTAGATCTCATGGGTGATGTGTATTTTTTGATTTTGTGATTAAGAGAGGCATAATTTGTCAGAGAAGATCCCAGTTGCACAACTTCTGGAGTGTTCCACTTTACAAGAAATAGAATTTCTTCAGTATCCCCGTGCGGGAGAGCGGCTATATTTGTCTTCATGAAGCCATCCATTCCTTACACCTGCATCGGGATATTCTTCTCGCGTCTTCTCATAACAGGACGGGCAATGAGCGCAGTCTTACCTTTGATGCCAAACTTGGAGTTGCCGCCAAACTTGAGAATGGCCAACATAATCAGGAAACCGAAGAAGGCGACGGCAGCGATGCCCACCACCACGTACACCTGCAGATTGGGCAGAATTTACGGCAAGCGAACGCAGCGGGTGGAATGTTGATTGAGGACTTACGGCGACTCTGTCCTCTGGCGGGTCTGAAGTGGGTCCATCTGTTTATAAAATAATAATAATAATAATAAATACATAGTTCAACAAGGGAATGATCATTATGACTTATTTTAGACAACATACTAAGGGTGGCACAAAAAAAAAACGTATTTGTAGCAGTACCTATGGGGAAGTCTGCAGCCAGAGAAGGTGATGTTAAGAAGCAGCAAGAGAGAAAAAGGGAAAAATAAATTAGACCACAAAAAAGTCGCAATATCTCAACACTGTTTTTTCCTTACCATGCTGCTAATAAATAAAGGATGTCATCTAACAAGTTTGTGAGTGCCAGAATTCAGCTTATTAACCACACAAGCACAATAACCACACGCATGAAGCATGCAAAGCCGCAAAAAAAAAAAGCAGAAGAGAAAACGGACATAAAATTAAACGTGAGGAGGAAAGCGACAGTCGTGTCAACCGTCATCCTCAGTGCAAAGATGCAAAAATTACGCCTCGCCAAAACAACTTGAAGGACAAAAGCAGAAAAGTTTTTATTTGCCATTAATGATGAGGACCAAAACGAAATCGAAAAAAAAGAAAAAACAGAAAAGAAAAAAAAAAATGTTCCACATGAAAATAAATCAGATTAAATCCTTGGTATTTTGAAAAAAAAATGTGTCATTTAATATTCTCATTTTTTTCAATTGAAGTCAGACTATTACAAAACTAAAGTGGTCATTTTATTGAGGGAACGTCAGTCAGTCTGAGACTTAGGTGTACGTTTATGCTCATAAAATTCTGACCTTGCCCTTCAAAAAAAAAAAAAAAAAAGCGTTCTCTTGTAAATGCCTTAAAATGTCGAGCCATCAGTTAAAATGTTGTGTTTTTTTTTTAACTTGTTCATTTTTTCTTGTAAAGTAACGGTAATAACTTTATTATCTCAAGATTCCCGCTTATTTGTTTTGTTTTTTTGTTTTTTTACAGATTATGACAACTTTATTTTTTATGAACAATTCATTCAAGAAAACACTTCACTCACCGTAGTAGTACGAATCTTTGTCAGTTCCTGCACAAGCACAATCAAAAGATTCAAAAGAATGACTTGAAAGTCAGATCAAACAGACAAGGCCTAGCAGGAAGGCTTTGGATTTTGCAGAATTCAAATGCGGTGTGCGACATAATGACCTGTCAAGTGTGGGTCCTCACCGTCCCAGGGTTTATGCATGAAGTGGGCCTCGACCCGCTTCTGGTCTGTTCCATACTCGTTCTTGGCCAATAGCGTGTAGAGGCCGTTGTTGAGGTGGGTGGGGCTGTCCAGCTGCAGGCAGCCGTGATACTCGCGCTCGGTCACCTCATAGATCATGGTCTTGATGAATTTGTCCTCCGTCACCGCTTTGCCGTTCAGAAACCACTGCATGTGAGGTTCGGGGTTGCCTAGGAAACACAAAGATTTGCTTTCGGCATTCTGAAAATCCTTCTTGAGACAGTAATATACTTTATTTTTTGGCCTCTGAAAATCTCTCCTTTCACATTTCTCCTAAACATCCATCCATTAAAATCCCTGTACTGCTTAATACAATTGTAAAATGATTATTTTGATTCAAGTAGAATGATTTCCAAGAAAGAAGTGGCAATTTTATGAGGCAAAAGTCAGAGTATTATGAGAGAAAAAGGACTGGGATGCAATTGTATGAGAAGAAAAGCATTATAGTATGTGAATGAAACGAACTTTAAAAGCTTTTCGTTTAAGATGATCACTTAATTTCCAGAAAAATGCGTATTTCTTGCACAAGGTTACGACTTTATTCCTCATAAAATTACACATCCATCCATCCATTTTGTAATCCGCGTGTCCTCACGAGGGACGCGGGGTGTGCTGGAGCCTATCCCAGCTATCTTCGGACAGCAGGCGGGGGACACCCTGAACTGATTGCCAGACAATCGCAGGGCACACATAGACGAACAACCATTCCGCGCTCACAATCACACCGAGGAACAATTTCGAGAACAGGTGTCAAACTCGAGGCCCGGGGGCCAGATCTGGCCGACCAGATCATTTTATGTGGCCCGTGAAAGCAGATCAAACATGTCAACTTTCATCATGCTTTCTAAAATGTCGACCAAAATTTTTATTTCTCATATGTTATAAATAAAACAGATATTCTAAGCAGTTTCTTGTTACCAAACCCCTTATGATAGTACGTAACTTAAACAAGTGTTGAATCAACAGTCACTCTTGACTTCTTTTCATGGGTTCAGTCATAACGGCGCTCCAAGGAAAACGGTCACTAAAATGTGGCCCGCGACAAAAATGAGTTCGACACAATTAATTTAGAGTGTTCCATTATCCGGCTATGCATATTTTTGAAATGTGGGAGGAAACAGGAGTACCCGGAGAAAACCCACGCAGGCACTGGGGGGACTTGCAAACTCCACACAGGAAGGCCAAAGCTGGAATCGAACCCTGCACCTGTGCACTGTGAGGCTGACATGCTAACCAGTTGACCACCGGGCCGCCCATTACAAAAACATTCTTTTCAAATTTCCACTTTCCTTTTCTCTTTGTTATTATTGCTTTTGTCTCATTAAATTGCAGGTTTATTGTCTGAAAAATTATCATTTAAAGTCAATGTTAATAATTCCACTTGGTCACTCAATCGTGAGTGGTGAACGACAGGCAACAGTGCAATCCCGATCTTACCTGCGACACTAAAGGGGATGCACCAGTGGTGGTCTGAGATGGCGTCACTCAACTTGGTGATATTCGGAGGAACTGAGGAGATCAGCAGCAGCAGCAGACATAAAAAAGAAGGTTAGCGCTAGTGAAGCATTAAATGCATAGAAGTTCTGTCTTGTGAAGCTCTGCATGGAAGAGTTTCATCTAATTGGATTTTTGCACCACAAAAAAAAAAAAAAAAAAAGGGGCAAACGTACAGAGTATGTCCAAGAGCAGCGAGGATTCTTTCTCGCCGACGATGTTCTGTGCGGTGCAGCTGATCTTACTGTTATGGTCCAACGATGACAAGTTGGACAACCATAGTGTGGAGATCTGACCTGCTGTCGCGATCTGTCAACGGAATGAAGCGTGAACCCATTTGAGTCGAAATGAGTGCGCTCAAAAGTCTTTTCCAAGTGTCATTTTCATTGCACTCACGAGAATATTTGCCGGAATTTCATTTATTGCATACATTGTTGATCCGTGTACCGTGCAGTTATTCTTAGTTTCGGTATGACACCAAAAATGCTTCAGTTTTACTTGAAACATTGCCAGTACAGTTAAAAAAAAAAAAAAAACCCACACAATACGGCGACAGTGTAACTCATATACATGTTCCTAGTCATCATGGTGATTTTCTATCGCATAATTCCTTCAGTGCTTCATCAATATGGAGTCATCTTCAATTATGCTCAAACAACCCCCCAAATGCAAATATTATCAGTCTATCAGACAAGCTCAAGTGCTACAAAGTGTAGAATTAATCCTCCGAAAAGACATTAGCAATTATTCTTACAATAGCACCATTAATTTCCTAACCCTGAAACCATTAATTTGATTTACTGACGATGACTCTAGGCAACGATGCTTCATTGGGCTCGTTTTCATGACTCGTGAGCTACGTACAGTACGTGTACTTTATGTCTATGGGCGCGTATAGGGGGCTGAGGTTGCGAGTGTACGGACCTCGTAGTTTGTGACCAGCGTCATGTTCCAAATGAGGTCGGGCGAGGGAACTCCGGAGGTGGTGCAGGACAGCTGCATGTTCTCACCCTCCATGACGGTCACTTTGGACGCCGTCAGTGTCGCCATGGGAAGCTCTGAGGAAGATGAGATGGAGGAGAAGGGAATTAGGGATTTTTTTTTTCCTCCCATTGAAATACTTTGCAAGTAGACACCCCCCCCCCACACACACACACACAAGGAGTCAATAGAAAGACCTTGGATTCAAACTCGGCGCCCTCGCCTTTCATGTGTGACTGCGCACACAAACAAAGAAACACAGTGAAGCAGTTACACTCATTACCACTGCATTTCTCCGGCAAGCGGACTGCTAATAAACTAATTGGACACACTTACATTTGTGTGCCTCTGTGGGTGCGTGCGTGTGCGCGTGCGTGCGTGTGTGTGTGCGTGCGGGCACATGAACGAGGATAACAAGGACGTGATGTGTGCATGACAAATTTGATTCATCTCAGAAGACCAGAAAACAAAAGACAGATGACTTTTGACCTAAATCAAGCACCTGATTACTCACTGTAATCTCGCCAAAGTCCAAACAAGACACAATATGTCATTTACGAGTTTGTCTCTGTCTTTCGATTGTGGTCCTGGCAAGGATAAATGTCAAAGAAAAAAAAAATCAACAGTGAACTTATTTAATCGGGTTGTTGATTGAATTTGACCTCAGGGAATGTAAAAAAAAAAAAAAAAAAAAAAAAAAATCACATCAAATTAAAGTGGACTCTCCAGATATGTAAGAATCCTGTCAATATTCACTAAAATGATGGCACAGTTACTGCAAAACCTCAAAGTTCAAAAATGTCATGAATCCATAGGATAATGATTCTTGCATTTTCAGCACTATAATTACACTACGGTCATAATTATTCATTCTTTTTTTTAAATCAGTGCCATATAAAGGGTTCCACTGTAAAAGTGCCGTTACCAACCTGCTTGTCCATGCCTAGATCCCAATCAGGTAATGAAAGTTATGTCCACCTTATGCATTAGTTATTTCGGACCACATAAAAATGAAGAGACAGTCCTCACAGGCCCAAAGCCAGTCAGCCAGAGGAGATGGCGAGGCGTTGACAGCAATTGCACATTTAACCGGACAGATTTCTTATCAGGTCCTTTTGTCCGTCGGCCTGTCACCACGGCAACCCACTTATCACCACGGCAACCCGTTCAATCACCGCCAGAGACAGTAAAAGACAATCGTTTCCATGGTGCCAGCTGTCATGTTAGAAGCACATATCTTCACACCCATCCTAAAATACACACTTTGTCCAATTAAAGTGCCTATACGCCAAAACACGAAGGCAATTGTAGTTTGAGGAACATGGGAAATTACTTCCACGCTTGGCTTTTTGCTGTGCAACCAGCCGTGACTTTTTGGTGATTGTAATCCCTGCTTTGAGAAGCGATCAGAAGGAAGAACGGGCTAATTAGCATGGCAGCTCAGCTAGCGAATATTTTGTGTGTGTGTGTGTGTGTGTGTGTGTGTGTGTGTGTGTGTGTGTGTGTGTGTGTGTGTGTGTCTCCGTTTTGGCTCAGTTACAGCCCACCTGCAGCCTGCGTGTAAACATCTGGAAAGCCACAGTGGAGGCCTAGTTCACAAAGCGCACTGCAAATAAATTATAGAGTGTACATATATATGTGTGTGTGTGTGTGTGTGTGTGTGTATCAAGTACAACTTTATTGTCAAATGTGCTGTATGTGTACAGCACAGATGAAATTTCTTCCCTCTCAAGACAACAAACGAGAGGAGCCGCTGCGGGTGCTCGTGCCGCCATCAAAAGTAACGTTAACATAAAATGACAAAATAATACAAGACAACACATTAGACAGAGACAATTGCGCATCTACGAAATCAAATTTTCCTGAGAAGGAAGAAGAAAGTGTCTATTTCAGGCATTGTTTTCCTTAAGCAGATGGTACACTGAAAACTGCTTGTGGGATAGATAGTATAAATTTAGGCAGCAGTGTTTTTTTGTTTGAGGAAGTTCAGAGTACACTAGCCAATATCTAAAGGCTGCAATTGGGCCCTTGTCCACAGTGTTCATTTCATTGTAAATGTGCCTCATTGGACCCAATTCATCTTTCTAAATAACTTTACTTGTTTAAAGGTCAGTAGACCTTCCGTATGAGAGCACCCATATGGTTTGACTTAATGTCATTACTCTTAAAAGACAAAACAATCAAATTAAACATCTGCTTTAATAACATCCCCATTTATCATTGTACCTTGTGCTTTTATTTCCCTAACCCCTTTTAATAAATTCCCAAGTTGTCATAAAAAGCATGTTACTTGGGCCCTCGCATCGCACTGGTTTAATTTACTTATATTCAGCCCAAGCGCTCTTTTAATTCAGACGGCAGGAAATTCAGCTAAAGGATGAATGTGATCTGTGGATACCGAAGCCAACTGGTCTCTTTAGTGGCTTTGCTCTGCTGTTTACTGCCTACATGTGTGCTTTGTCTTTGTACACAGCATATAGGCCAATGGGTAAAATGGTGTCTGTCTAAGCCTCAGGGACGACTACAAGATGGAAATGGAACCATTTTTGGGGCCTACGCAAATGCAGAAGGGACAAATTTTATTTTTTTAAATTAAAAAAAAAAAAAAAAACATCAGGCCTACTCACATTGTAGCACAGGACAGAAGAAGACAAGAAGACACTTTGTAAGTGCAAATTAGTCATGTTTGCCATCTAGTGGTGATTGGTGATATTACAACTTACAATTACAGTGGACCCCTGCAAATTCGCAGTTCAGCATGCGCGGATCACATACTGTAACTGTGTATTTTCTTTTCTTTTTTTGTATTTTTTTGTATTTGTTCTTATTTTGATTTTTCCTGTCTTCTGTGAAAGACGTATATTGAATGTTTGTCAGCAGTTTTAAAAGAATGTTATAGGTTCAGAATATATATACATATGTACTTCAATATATCCTTGCATCCCGTAGGATACCAATTGCCCATCCCTGTAGTCACGGATTTTACTGTCTTAGATATTATTTGCCAGTCAGTAATTTTAACTAACAGTGCATGTTATGAGGACTGACACTATAGATAATTGATGATCTTGACTTGTTTATTTCAAAGTGCAACTTCAGTAACAAACACAGTGAGGCAATGTGAGAGATCAGTGCAGGCCTGAGGGCACGGTTGCCATTCTGTCACTGACAAGTGGGCAGACGGACAGTAGAACACGCGAACAGACTAACACCCTGACAAAGCAAAGGCTAACCCTCCATCTGGACCTTTTCAAGTCCTCTGTGTAACCGTGACAGCCCAGAGGCACCGACCAGACCCTGCCTGCCTCTTCATGTGTCACTCTGCCAAAGGGAGGAGTGGTGGGCTTCCCCCTAATGTCAAAAATAAACTCCGCTAATGGACCGGAGGGAGCGGGGAGCGGATCAATAGGAATTATCAACGACACTGTTTGCTTCCTGCAGGCATGTTTATGTTCTCTGCGTTCCGACTGCTCTGAGCAATCGCTGACTATGTCATGCATTTTGCTATTAAAAGTCTCTTCCAGGGGCAAAATCACAGTATTTTCTTTTTTTAAACTGTGTGGTAAATGTTGGAGATCGCTGATGGTGTAGTGCAGACGTGGGCGAAGTCCGGTCCGGGGTCCACAGTCAAAGACCATGCAGCCAAAATAAAATGTATAATTGCCGTACTTTTATTTTGAAAGTTGTGCTTTTATTTTATGTGCACATGTGGACGCTAGTACAGTATGAACAAAGTAGCAACCAAGAGCTACAACTTGTGTCTATGTCAATACCAAATTAGTGAGATTTTTTTTTTTTTTTTTTTTTACAATATTTAGTGACTTTTATGACCCAGAGCAATTATTTTTCCATTAAAAGATGAGCAAAAATGTTAACAGTAGTCATAAAGTAAAAAGGGTTCCGTCAGTCGTCATCTGTACCTGTGGGTAAAAAACAAAAAAAAAAAAAAAAAAAAAAGGATGTTTCGCTTCTCTCACAGAAGCTTCGTCAGCGGTAGACAACTCTGAAGTCTGAAGGACGACTGATGGAACCCTTTTTACGATGGAACTTTCCTGTACGACTGAGAGCCTCCACAAGCATCTTGTAGTCCTAAAGTTAATAACATTCTTATTTGCTGCACAGTGGAGGGAAGAGGGGCAAGAGGATTTGGCCTGGTAATACTGTACACAAATCTTTCTTTTCAAACACCATACATATTGTGTGGATTATATGTCATCACTGAATCATTATACATCACTGTCAATGTTATTATACTTCCCATTTATTTATATATTTGGGAATTATGACGAGGAACGGTTATCTATCGTCATTTTTTTCGATAAAAATCTAATGTGGTTTTAAAAAAATAAATAAAAAATTGAATCAGCGTCAAAAATGTGTTACGGGACACAAAGGCATCTCTGATTAAAATTTGCTGTTGACCAGTGTTATTTTTATTTCTCTTATTTCCCAAGGGAACAATTGTTACCAAATGCAAATCAAACACGTCAGCGGGTCTGACCGGGCCGAGACGAAATGGGACCCTGTTTATGAACAGTGTCTAAAATAAGAGCGATTCATGAAAAATTCATTGTGTTGGTAAAAGGAGGCAAAGAAACATTGTGTCAATTAAAGGCTGACGTTTATATACTCCAGAGTGATAAGCGCACAAAGAGGCCTGTGGTCTGTGGCGGGTCGGCGCGGTCCTTAAGTTGACATTACACTCGCTCGTATTGTAAATAACACTGCGATTTGCTGCAGGCCGCCTTTTTTAGTGTTTTACCAGTGATCATCTGAATGTTCTGGCTATTTTATTTTTAGGTCTTAAATATTATCCATTGCATAGATAACACATTGTTTCGGGGAATACCAGACTTTGCGTCTCTGCAATGCATTAATATGAATGCAAAATGTGAAACCGTTGATTCAATCTATTATTAAAAAAATCAATTATAAATTTCAAAAATACATATCAACTGTTCTCTATCACTCAAAAAATACCATGTTCCAGTTTGTCACGGTGCATGATCCACGTAAGATAATAAACACCATCTCACCATCACCATCATGAATATAAAAAAAAAAATCTGATTAGCTTATTTGGACTCTGTTGCTAACCAAAATAGCAGCAACAAACAACCTTGCGTCCTCCACCGTCCTCGATGCAGCGCAGTTCCTGGGTGTCCGCCTCCTCTCCCAGCCACAGCTTGATCCACATGTTCTCACAGGAACAGTGCAGTGGGTTTCCTGTCAGGATCCTATATATATACACACACACACACACACACACACACACACGCACACACACACACACACACACACACACACACACACACACACACACACACAGAGCATATTTAATGCAGACAGTCAAGGACATACGAAAAGCAGAGCGAGACTAGAAAGTAGTTTTTTTTTCTGTGCAAGTTAAACAAGGATACACGATGTGCCAACTTGCATTCACTTTCTCATCTTCGAGCAGAATTATATTGCATAACACATCAGCGACAATGTATCATTTTCCTTACTCTTCTATACTATGTGGGTAGGCCAAATGATTTTTTGCCAATTTGAAATCATTTGCAGGACACACACACAAAATTTTGAGTGTGGTGATTTTTGTGGAAAAAAAAAAATTGAACAAAATGAAGTCTTGCACTTAACAGTAGTTTTGTGTCATCCTTGAATGTTTTTTATGCAAGAGAGCGCTTTGCACTGCACTGTAATAAAAAGAATTTTGTGCGGATGTATTCATATTTTTATTAAATCTTATATTAAATATTCAACTTTTATTTTAAATAAAACCTCTTAGTAAGTTAGCATTGGCTGCAAAGCAGGTCAGTATATTACACACATTACTGCCACCTACAGGTCCGGAGTGTAACACTAGTGTGTGAGTGTGTGTGGTGTGTGTGTGTGTGTGCATGCATGTATGTGCGTGGATCCTCACCGCAGTTGGCAAGTCTGAGTCTGGACAGCAGGCTGCGTCCTCCACCGTCCTCGATGCAGCGCAGTTCCTGGGTGTCCGCCTCCTCTCCCAGCCACAGCTTGATCCACATGTTCTCACAGGAACAGTGCAGTGGGTTTCCTGTCAGGATCCTATATATATACACACACACAAAC